GAGCGTCTCTGGAGGGAACTGCTGCTGTCGTCATACATTCAATTGAGTTCTCTGCTAGAAACTACTCAGTGGCGTGGCAGTTACTGTGTGAGCGATTCGATAATAAGAAATTATTGATACAAAACCATATAACAGCATTATTTAATATAGAAGTGATCACTAGGGAATCTTCTTTTGCTTTAAAGCGTTTAATAGATGAATTAAATAAAAACCTACGGGCCTTAGAATCATTAGGTGAGCCTATTAAGTACTGGGATACGTTATTGATTTACATTATAACTCGTAAGTTCGATCAAAAAACTTATCGTGAGTTTGAAGAGTACAAAGGCCGGTTAGATAAAGACAGCACAATAACATTAGCGGTATTTCTTCAGTTCATACACGCACGAGCTGATTTACTCGAAACATTGGAGCTGTCAAGGCATAATATGTTACATACGGTTCACACACAATCACATAATAAAAATTCCAAAATTCAAACAATGTTCACAACACAAAGTACTTATAATAAAAATGTAGGTAGTACCGAATCATCTTGCAAACCGTGTCCTAAATGTAAGGATAATCATAAGTTGAATGATTGTCCAGAGTTCCTTGCATTAACCATTGACGCTAGGCTTAAATTATTATCTAGTGTCAAGGTCTGTTATAATTGTTTCCGTACAGGACATTTTGCCAACCAATGCAAGAAACCAGGTTGCAAGTTATGTAAACGGAGGCATAATACATTAATTCACACGTCAGAGTTTAAAAATAGGTCACACACTCGTAACAATTATGAAAACACGACATGTAATAATTTGTTATCGTCCCCATCAACGTCTTCACCGTCCGTCGTCACAGGGCCGAATAACGTGACATTGTCGGCACATATTGCATCGCCCGAGCCCGGCGGTGAGTGTCAAAATGGTAAACAACACCAAGTGTTGTTGTCTACCGCTTTAATAAAGGTATGCGACAATAATAATCGCAAATATATCGTGCGGGCCGTGCTTGATAGTGGTAGCACATCCAGTTTCGTGACAGAAGGTCTTTGTAAACGGTTGAACTTAAGTAGATACACTGATAGGTCCATAATATATGGAATTAATAACAAATCTTCTTGTGTAGGTAAAACATGTAACATTCAGATTGCGTCGCTTAGTAACAGTTACAGTACAAAGGTACGTTGTTTAGTTTTACCGTCGATTACGAGTGTCGTGCCCTGTCGTGAAGTTGATGTATCGAAGTTCAACATTCCTAATAATCTGCATTTAGCTGACCCTTCGTTCTACAAGCCTTCAGAAGTAGAAATTTTAATTGGTGCCGATTTATTCTGGGAGTTGTTGGGTACACAAAGGGTACAGTTGGGCAAGGGAAAGCCAGTATTATGTAACACCAGGTTAGGCTGGATTGTGTCTGGCCCCATTGGCCGTGTTGTTAGTAAACGTCCTTCAAATAATAAAAAATGTAATTTCGCTCAATGTAGTGCTCAAAGTGAGTATGAATTGGAGAAGTTTCGTTCCGATTTAACACGGTTTTGCAATATTGAGGAGATTGTTTCACCGTCTGATGAATATACCTAGCGGTAGATTTTTGCGTACGTATACCCCTGAAACAGGATCCTTCGGTTCTAGGAACTTCGTTCGATATGGCTTCGAAGTGTTTATTTTCCCTAGAACGGAGACTGAAGACCAACCACTCGTAACTAAATATCGTGTTCCTCGACTAGTCGTTTGCGACGTTTTCAATGTATTCGAACTCCATGTCTTCACGGACGCCTCTGAGCGCGCGTATGGTGCGTGCGTCTATATTCGTAGCGTAAACGCTAGCGGTGAAGGCATGGTTCGGTTGTTAGTATCTAAAAGTCCCGTTGCCCCCCTGAAGCCCACCACTATCCCCAGATTGGAGTTGTGTGGTGCTTTATTGGGCGCTCGTTTGTATGAAAAGGTTTGTACGTCCCTGCGAGTCAAGATCAGCAGTTCTTACTGTTGGACTGATTCCACAATAGTTTTAGGATGGTTACAAATGTTACCTTCCAGACTCCAACCGTTTGTGCGTAATCGCGTTGCAGAGATCTTAGATAAGTCAGGTACATGTACATGGAGACACGTACCAACAGACAAAAACCCCGCGGATTTAATTTCACGAGGTGTCGATATTGGCACCCTGCAGGGCTTACCTTTATGGTGGAGTGGTCCCGACTTCCTAAAGCTGGACCAGGTTAAATGGCCGTCTCCACTCTGCTACTCGGAAACAGAGTCATTACCCGAAACTCGATCTCATGTTTCATTGAGCACTGTTGTCACCAATCATATTTCTAATACACTGATAGAGTTTGAGAGATTTTCTAATTATTCAAGACTTGTGCGCTGCATGGCTTATGTACTCCGGTTCATTACACTTTGTAGGAAACGGCGGGCATGTGGTGGAATTTTGACACAAGACGAGTTACAAACTGCTTTAAATTTTTTAATCACTAAGTCTCAAATGCAATCAATTCCCGAGTACAGTTTATTAATTAAAAAACAAAATATCCCTCCAAAAAGCACTCTGTTAAAATTAAACGTTTATTTAGACCACAATGACATTCTTCGTGTCGGGGGGCGCTTAGATAACTCCCTTTTCTCTTACGACAAAAAACACCCTATTCTGTTACAGTCTAGCCATGCATTTACAAAGTTATTGTTTGAGTTCGAACACAGGCGATTGATGCATGCTGGCCCCCAGTTACTGTTGTCATCGATTAGAGAGACATATTGGCCGTTGGGTGGCCGAAACTTAGCGAGGGCTTGCTTCCATAAATGTATCAGATGTCGTCGTATAAAGGGGAGTGTTGTTACTCCCATAATGGGCAACCTACCGCAGCAGCGGCTCCTTCCAGGCGGGCATCCTTTTGAAACCTGTGGCGTAGATTATGCTGGTCCGATCTTATGTGCTAGCCGACAAGGGCGCGGATGTAGGTTAGTAAAAGTGTATATAGCTATATTTGTTTGTTTCGCCACAAAGGCTATTCATTTAGAGCTAGTGGGTGACTTATCCAGCCAAAAGTATTTACTGGCCTTAAATCGGTTCATTTCGCGGAGAGGTAAACCGGTCAACATTTATTCCGACAACGGTACATCATTCGTGGGTGCGTACAACGACCTTTCGAAATTTTTGAAAACAAACTGTGAGTCTATGGCAGAGAGGGTGGCAAATGATGGGGTTAATTTTCATTTTATTCCTGCATATGCGCCACACTTTGGCGGACTCTGGGAAGCGGGGGTTAAGTCGACGAAATATCATCTACAGCGAGTGTTGGGAAACTGTCACTTAACCTACGAAGAACTTAACACCACGTTGACCCAAATCGAGGCGGTCTTAAATTCTCGCCCATTAACGCCGCTGTCATCTGATCCTGCCGACTGTACACCGCTCACTCCGGGACATTTCCTAGTGGGTCGTCCATTAACATCAATACCTCAATCGGAATATCAGCACCAATCCGTGAACCACCTGACTCGTTATCAGCGAATTGAACAGCTCCGCCAACATTTTTGGACTAGGTGGAGCAAGGAGTATGTCGCTGAGCTGCAACAGAGAACGAAATGGCGTTCCTGCAAGGATGAATTGAAGCTGGGTACTTTGGTGGTCGTCAAGGAGGACAACATGCCCCCTCTGAAGTGGCGTTTGGGGAGAATCGTGGCTGTGCATGCTGGAGAGGATGGGGTTGTTCGCGTTGCCGATATCCGGACGTCTGTGGGCGTCATTCGAAGGGCTTTTAATCGGATCTGCCCGTTGCCCGTGTGTTCCACTGGTGGTTGAAAGGGCACCTTTCAACGTCCGGGGGTATGTTCAGGCGCCCAATGGTAAACGCACCGCAATACATCTAGCAATTAAACGTTGCCTGTCATCTGTGTCACCAATATAGTCGGTAGCTTTAAGTTTGATTTAAAATGTTGACTTGCACTACGACTCTGGAGCTTTTTACAAGGCAGTACACGCTCAGTCCATATATTTGCTGTTTTATTTCCGGAATCCGTGCTAATTCTTTACACATGGCGTCCGCGTTAATTGAGAAGCGACATTCGAGACATGCGACAGGGAAATCAATGGGCTGACATGGATGTATTTATTATTAATACTATAAGTACAAATAGAAATCTGATTTTTTGTTAAATTTTAGTCTTTAAATTTTTATGCGGTAAAGACTGAGATAGCAGCTTCTGTTCAGGAGAGCCGACCAACTGTCACCTTCCAAGAAATGGTGCTCACATTATGAAATCGACCCTCCTTCTGGAGCTCCTTCTAGAGCTAGTTCGAGGTATTTTGTGCTTATCACCAATTTTTGCTTATCACCGCTTTTAACACGTTTTTATTAGCTTGGAATGTATGAAACGGAATCTTCGAACATGAGACCTATTTCTTAGCGTTCCATGGATTCATCGTGGTGAATGGTGCCTGGTCCATCACGTGATAGATATTGGCCACACATTCCAGTTCGACGACGCCTCGGACTTGCGACCCAGGTATAGGTTTAGGGAGTACTCCTTGCGACTCGTCAGCGCTCACCTCCACTGTCTGTGTTACCCCCTCTACCTCACTATATTTGATACGAGCCTAGCAATGCCGCTTTGGATATTCCTACCTCTTTTCGTGTGTTGAGATATTATCTCTTAATATATTTATAACTGTACCGGTGGTAAGCAGCAACCTTAGAACAACCCTTCGAGGTTTTTATATGTCCCTCGATTCGAGGAGTTTCTTATGTCCCTCTTTTGCTGTGATTACTTTAAAACTTTCAAGGCATGTGATGAAGCATATGTGAATTACTAACTTCTTACTAAGGCTAATGACTAAAAAGTAAAAAAAAAAATAGTATAAAAAAACTTAAAAACACGCTTTTGTAACTAGACTAGCTAAAAAGTAAAAGAAAGAAGCGTGGGGTGCTTTCAAGACATTTTACAATAAAATAACTTTACTTTCTAAGGTCAGGCCTTTAATAGTCCACTGCTGGACCAGTGGACTATTAAAGGCTGTTAAGGCCAGGTGTCCCGAGCGCAATAGGTATTTACGTACTGTCGCCGCAAAGATCGAGTCGGTTGAAGCGACGCTTCGTGCGCCACAGTCCAAGTTGAACAGTATTCCAACAGACCTAGTAATTTTTCATCTACTAAAGTTAATAAAAACTTGCATAGATAACTATAAAGACTTCTTCTCCGTAGAGTTAATACTAATATAAAATATATATTTTTATATTTATAATATATTTTTTTACTTTAATCTGAAAAACGATTGGTTCTCCATACAAACTTTGATCTCCTATTTTGTTCCCATCAAGTTTTTTTTCCGAAACTACAAATAGGTACCATTTTTATCAATACCAAAATTAATTAATTGATTCAGCAAGTAAGGGCATGTGAAAATGTGACAGACAGACAGATAGTTACTTTCGCATTTATTTTATTATAATAGATTATGTAAAACTTAAAATAAAAAATATTATTTTAAATTACTTATTTTGGGTTGTGTAAGAGCACTGCTTATTGTTAAAAATATTTTAAAACTCCTCGAAATTTAATTGGCATGTGCCTTGTGTTCGTTCTGAATCATCAGGTTTAGGATAAGGAGGGTTAGGGGTAGCCTTTTCATTTTCCTTTTGAATTGATATGTCTCTAATGGGCATACCCCTTGCATTTCTACTGTCTATGATTTCAGGCAGTAAGCAATTCATATAAAATGTTATTAATTTCGGTTTCATATTAGTGTTCCAAAATATATCATCTTTTTCTATGAACTGTGTGTACATTTTTTCCTTTTCGCCTGCCCATATAGCCAAAAGACACTTTTGTCGTTCTGATACATGTAGCTGGCCTTGTATTTGGTAGTACCAGTTTGAGTTTTTATTTATTGTGGTTGTTTTAGAGTTTTTATTAAACTTTAAAATTTCTATTTTGTTTTCTTCTATAGAGTTAGAAAGACCTTTTTTATGTGCTGTAATTGGACACTTTACTTCAACAATCGTATCATGTCCAATCAAGCCATCAGGCGTTGCCCCTATAAAAGGGTAGTCTTTGTCTATAAATAATCCACAGGGTGCAATGATAACACCTTCCTGCTGTTGTAATTGCTGCAAAGCTTGCTGTTCATGCTCGACTCCGTGTGCAATAGACGTGACGTTTGCCAAATTTTTTTTGTACAGCAGATTTTTTACTAGCGGGGCTGTACTTGAAGTGACTTTTCTTTTACAAATAGGGCCAAAGTTTGAAGCTGTTATTAGGCTTTTTCTGATTTCAAGCCACTCGCCGCTGTCTCTCTGCAGTATCGTAGATCTTTCTACCTTGTATCTATCAGATGTAAGCGTTTCTAAATTTTTTAGAAATTCTTTCTTTGCTGTGTCGTAATCTTTTTGCGACATATCAGGCGCTGAACAGGTTGCACCATAGTCGTGTTGCTCTTTATTTACATCTTTTAGGACTCTACGTTTCTTTACTGGGTGCTCCATATTTAGTTTCCGTTTTCTTTCACGTCTTTTTTCAATTTCTTTAGCTTTGCCTCCGGAATCATTACTTGATAAAGCTGTTTGAATTGTTGATACTGCCGATTTAGTGTTGAACGAAACAACGGCTGCGGCACACCTTCCTTGGTAGCCCCTTCTTAGAGCGAAATTTATTCTTTTGCCGCCAGTAAATTTTGCTATTATGCTGTTAAAGCACTCTACCTTATTTGTGTTTACATCTTCAATCAAACTTCGTGATTTGGAAGCCACGTTGGACACAATTGCATTAATTCTAAAAATAAAAGTTGAATTTGCAATTTTTTCCAGTTCGCCATTACTGTTTTTGTCTTTATCGCAGAAGTAATTTTGACACATTTGATGATTTCCATAAGCGTGGGATACAGAGTTGATGATATCTTTGTGCAAAACTGATATTGCCACATTTTTAGAATTCTGTGAGGTTTTATGATGTTTAATAGATTTCACTATTGCCTTTCGCATTGTCATGATTTTGTGATTAGTGAGAGTTTTTCGGTGCGCTAACATGTACTTAGTTTCTGTGGTGACCGCTCTTAACTTTTTACAAAAATTGCGCAATATGTGATTGCGGCATTCAAGTTTCTCAACCGTCAAATTTTGGCTTTCGTATGGATTTGCGTTAAGAATTTTAGCGTAGGTCGACGCATCTCCGTCTCCTATCATTCTGCCATATATAAGGCCATACGTAGCAATCGATGTTTTGAAACCTTCAACAATTATGTCAGCTTCCATTGAACTTGCGGATCCTTCAAAATTTTTGAAACACACATGATCTTGAGGTGCAATTTTTTTATTTTCAGCTCGGCTACATACGAGGCAATATTTATTTTTGACACCATAGTACAGAACCTCACCCGTATTTCTGCCAATTATGGCTGCTGTGCCCGATGAAGCTTTATAGTTCGAACCATATGATCTAGCACACCATGCCCCATCAACATAGACGTCTATAACAGGATAGCCGTTTTTGGTTCGGCCTTCTGCTAAAGCAATTTCTCTTTCTTTATTAGCCGCAGCTTCCATTGCCACACAAGCAGTTTCTTCCCATTTCTCATAAACTTTATTTTGTAGTTGATTAAAATATCTTGATGAAAATATTGGAATATTTATAGCCGAAAATAACTCTTCGATCTGGTAAAATCCTATACCAGAGGCTACAACTCCGGTGGTAGCAGCTATATTAGCATTCACCTGCTCAGTATCTTTTGTGTTTTCGGATGGAATTAAACAGACTTCTTTACACATATTGCACTCAAATTTAAAGGTCGATATAAGTCCATTTCTTCTTTCACCAACTAAGCGCAAATTACTTGATTGACAATTAAATAAGTTATTGTGGCGTGCTTTCTCTTGAAATTCTTGCAAAAAGTAATTGATATCAATTATCCTTCGTCCTGATATGGGTTGGAAATTATCTTCTTTGTTGTCCTTTTCAATAATTAACCCATCATTGTTTTCATCAGGTTCTCTGCAACAACAAATAAGATATCGAGATGTTATATTATGTGGATAGAAAAAAAAAATGTATATAAAATAACTATATGTAGCTACCTCACATAAAATCGGCTATAATTCTATTCTAGTAACTTACATGTTGGCTTCAGAATCAACAACTGGTTCTGGCGCAGATAACGTAGCGTTAGGAACATCTTGTAAGTGTACAACAGTTGACGGTATCGACGACCTGAAATAATAATTCCTTCTTCAACAGAAATGATAAAAAAATAGATACGAATAAAACAAATATTTTTAGATTTGTATATTTTGAAAGACAACAAAAATATCAACTGACTTAGTTGCAGAAGGTGGCAAATCAACAGGCTCTAATGTTATAAAAGATACGCGAGTCCTGTTAGAGGTATCGTCACACGGCTGTCTGCAAAAAAAAAACACGACTTTACTAAAATGCAAATTTGAGTAGATAAATCTTAGATAGGCAAGTATAATGTTATAATTATTATTTTTTACTAATTTACTTTAATTTACTAACATGTTTACTTAAATGCATTACTTCACACTCCTAAATTTAAAACCAATTTGTGCGAGTGTTGAACATTCGTTATTTAAATACTAGGTTCTATACGGCTGAGTTGACATATGATGGACTACTATTTATAATGTAATCACGATAGTGATTGTCAAGAATATAAAGAAAGTACTTACTGTTCTTCTGTGCTTTTTGTTCGTAGAAATAAGCCCTTCTCACTTCGAGTGATTTTTGAACTGAAACAATAAATTAAGTAGGTATTAGGTATTAAGATGAGTAAGTGAAAGAAAAACAGTGCGTCCCCTATATATGAGGCACGCACTAGTGATGCGCAAAATGTATCACTGAGCTGAAAAGCTTGATACATATCATTTCGCTCAAAAGATATATATCACTCATCTAGCTCACTAGCTCATTTAGCTCACTAACTGAGCTAGTGAGCGAGTGATCTAGTACTGAGTTACTGATATATTCGGAGCAAGTGTGAGTGAGTGATACATTTTATCGTCGTGAATGATATATATCTTTTATATCACTCACTCAGGAGCTACACAACTCTAGCACGCACGACTCGTGCATTGTGATTGGCTGACCGCGGTCCACTGCCCAGCAACCGACCGGCAAACTCGCGTCATTGCTCCCACTTCCTCCCGCATACCTCACTTACCTCAGTCCTCAATTCTCGCTTACGGATAGCATTAATTTCTATTGAGAACGCATTGCTTTTAATGATGTATATATCATTTTTCTCTATGAACTTACTGATATAGTTAGACTGTGATCAGTAGACCGTACGAATATTGACTCCATACAAAGTAACTGTCTGTCTGTCTGTTACCTTTTCACGCCTAAACGGCTGAACCAATTTTGATGAAGTTTGGTATAGATGTGGAGTTAGTTGGGGCTTTGGAGAAGGACATAGAATTCTTTTTGTCGCTAAAATAAGACTTGAAAAAGGTGAAATGAAAGATAAAGGTATAATAATAGAAAATAAAACTTACCATATTTTCTTCGCGATGTTTTTCTTCTTCAAACATGATTGTTTGGTTTTTTGATTTTTTTTATTTCCCATTTTCACAGAACAATCACACAAAATATTCTTATACTAATATTTACACAAAAAAACTATACACACAAAATAAACTTAACAATGGTAAGTACCAACTAAAATTATAAGTCCTATAAATTAAAAATATTAATTATTTTTGCGATAAATATATACAGCAGAAGGGAAGCGCGCGCGTGGTAAATTTGGCATAGGTCTTACCTCGGTAACGTCCCGCAAGACACTGGCGAACGCCGCGCGAGATGAAGATCGCTTCAATAATCGATTAAAAATTTAATTGATGTAATATAAAAAATCGATCGGGTAAGATATCTCCAGTTATCTATTACCTTTATTCTAAAAAATGAATCACAATCTCAAATCACTTTTTGTAAGAATAAAATGGAAAAAAGGAGATAAAATTACAAGAAAAGAGGTAACTTTGTGAATTTATTCTATCGAGTAATCTATATTAAATCGTGTTTCCATCGAATACATTACCTTGTATATATCCTCAACAATACCAGTAATTTTTTCTAGATTTTAATTTTATTGCTTAATCCATCAAAAATTAATTCTAAAAACGTGTTTTGCAGTACCACCCGGCCTTAATGTAATGTAATGTACCCCTGACAAGAACCTTCCAATGATTAGAAAAACTGATAAGTAATCTTTGAAAAACAGCACAGATTTTCTATAACATTTTAAGAAAATTACACTTTAGCAGTGAATTGAAAACTAATGATTTTTTAAATTCAAATACTAACATAAATTAAAATACTAATACATTAGTATTTTCAGATATTAAGGTATAACATTAACAGAAAAGCTACGCTTTTGACTTTATTTACTTGACGTTGCATCATCAACGTCGCCATGTTTTGAAAACATCACCAAAGTAACTGTACACCAGAACTCCTATCAATAAGACAAGTAGAAGTTGTTAAAAATCTTTTACTTATACTTATTAAATAGGAAATAAGCTGAGAACTTCTAACCTCGTGGGCTGAACTTCATAATAAATAACTGAGAACCATCTCGACCACATATGCTATTAAAAAAAACAAAGGTCTCATCTATGTTGGTGCCGCCTTAATCCTCTTGACTTGTAAGTATCCATGGGCGACGGTTATCACTTACCATCAAGTGGGTGGTATCCGAGGGGAGTTCCGCACGAAAAAAAAAGGGTGTAGTACCTATATGGTAGCAGAGTTTTCATACGTATGAGAAGTACTCCACTCCAGTGTTTACACGATGGCTCTAATACGAACAGAAATTTAAGGATAACCACTAACATAAATACGATACTTTGAGAAAGAGTTATAAAGGGGATCACTCTTATATAGCCAAACCTGTAAAACCTCTTTTATATATAAAGAGTCTTTATTGAACAAAGGAACACAAAGTAATTCTGGTAAAGAATTTTTTTGTTCTTTGAGATAAAGGCAGTTTTGTTTTATACAAAACTCGCAACTAAATTCCCGAAGGGGTAGGCAGTGGTATTTTATACATCAGCATATTTAGTTAATTAAAGCCATCATATTGGGAATTAAATTAAGGACGGGGAAAATGTGACTGTGATAAGAGCGGGAATAGAGAGGAACGCTCTCTAAGGAAAGGGATGTTTTTATAGGGATGGATTAAACAGAGTCGCATTCGAGGAAGAAAACCTCTTTAAAAATTACTCCGAATCCCGTATTCTAGTGCGTGGCTAGGGGATGCATGGCTGATGGGTAGTTCAGTTGCAAGCGCGCTCCCAGCCGGGGCACCAGCGGAACCCTCGGTTGGGTATAAATCTACGCTTGCCCGGGTATTGGGGGATCTAAGCCCTGGTCGACCTTTATTTCTCCGACACTCGTGGGATCAATAAAGAGTTCAAATAAAAACCAAAATGAAGAAAAGAAGGAGAGAAAGAATGAGGAGCTTACTAGAGCAGATGACTCTAACGTGGAGGAACTTCTACATGAGATACTGATCTCGGTAAGGCTCCGAGAAGGTAATCTTACTCCTGGGAGCCGAAGAACATCTGATCATTTAAGATAGAGATCCGCCATTCCGTCGGATGGATGTAATTTAAGTACGACAATGAGCGATCTGCAGCTAATAGAAGTGGAGACGGACGAAGATGGCGAAACGTCGCAAGAGTGGTTGCCTCCCAAAGTGGTTGGCAGCCGTAGCCGTCGCGCACTCCAGTCTCGGCCCCGTCAGGCTCAGTCTTTTGTAAGGCGGCACCCTATAGGCGTGGCAGGGCGAAAGCCGTAAACATAGTAAAGGAGGAGATCGCGGATCTCCTGCTAAAAATTCAGTAACCGACGGTACAGGGTTCTGTCCCCCAAACACTGGTATCCATGCAGGAGAGGACAAATGTAGCTGTTGCCATCATAAACGAGGTGGCCACCAAATCTACAAACCAAAGGGTCAATTTGTTAGGGTCCTTAAGGACTCCTCCTCCACTATCCCTGGAGTCGTAAACACCCTGATAGCCCATGTTCCAATGCGATAACGGTCGGCTGACGAATCAGGTGTCTGGGCTCCGTGCTCAGTTTGCCCAATTTCGGTCGCAGGTGGATTGTCCTGAACGACAGGGCTCGGCTCCACCGCAGTCTGCCCTCTTACGGTGCCGGGGACGTCTCTGACACTCACCTGCGCCAAATACTTGACGCAGTGGGACGTATGTTAGACGGACGGCTTGCAGGCCTGGAGACGAGGCTACCTCCCCCCCCCCATGGTCCGGCCGCCACTCCTGCGGCGTCGATTCCTTTTCCTGTTCAAAGCGGTCGCGTTACTTACGATGCCTGTACCTGGCCCTACAATATCTTCCCCCTACGTCTGCCCTCTCCAACAATGGGTGGCCGAGTGGGGGGGGGGGGGAATCACCATATATGGTGTTTATTTTTCCCCCAATCGGAGTTTGAGCGACTTCGAGGTTTTCCTCAATAACTTGTAGACCTCGATGCGGCGGCTAGCGTCTGGGTACGTCCTTGTGCTAGGGGAATTCAACCCAAAATCATGGGGTTCCTCCAGGACAGACACAAGGTTTGTTTCTTGCGGGATGATACCAACGTCTTTGCCGATTCTGTCACTGGTGTAGTGCTTCGGGGCATGGAACTATTTGTTCTACACTCATTCCCATTGGTAGCAAATCCAAGCCTTGGTTTAACAGGTCCTACAAAACGGCGTTCTGTCAAAAACAGCCGTGGTAGGGAGTTCGTTTTCCCGAGAAATATTGAGACGGCCAGTATAAAAGGCATCTCCCGTGCATCTGCATAGCAATGGATGCTACTAGATCGTAACATATCATTGATATGCAGAAGAAACAGTGTGGGTGATAGCACAGAGCCTTGCGGGACTACAGCATTTACTGACTTAAAGTCGGAGCATGCACCGTCGATAACGACCTTAATGCTTCTACCTGCAAGGAAACTGGTGACCTAGTTTCATAATTTCTCGGGAAGCCTACAGGAAGGGAGCTTCGAGAGAAGCGCTCTATGCCACACCCGATCCTTCGCTAAGTCCAAGTTTACAGGACAAGCCTCCCCCTGGGTCTCGATCGCCTGTGCCCACAGGTGTGATAGATAAACGAGAAGATCACCAGCTGATCGAACACGGCGAAAACCATATTGTCAGTCATTGAGTAAGTCTATGATGATTTTCTAAGTACCGGAGGAGCTGGCAGTTAATTACGGATTCCCTAATCTTAGAGAACAAGGGAGTTATAGCTATAGGCCTGTAGTTGGACGGATCAGAGCGGTCACTTTTTTTAGGGATCGGATGCACAAACGCTACCTTCCAGGAATTCGGAACGATGCCTAGGGTGTAGGAGAGTCGAAAAAGGCGAGTTAAAATCGATGCCAACTCCAGAGCACACGTCGTCAGCACGATAGGGGAGATTCCATCGGGCCCACTCGACTTGTGAAAAGAGTGCTTTACGCACTGATTTCTGTATGAACCAGATTTCCGGCATACAGCTCTGGTACCGCGGTATGGTCGGCGGTACGTTTCCAAAGTTCAATCTAAAGTCGAGTTGGACGCAAAGAGTTCATCCCATCTCAGTCTGCTGACCTATAGTGCCATACGCGACGGCACCCTGCAACTCGCGGCCGCGGCGACCACATGAGTGGCACTGTACTTCGTATTAGGCAATGACCCGAAGAGCCAAATGAGGCCTCAACGATGACTTTATAGCCGTCTGGATCAGAGGTCAGCAGAAGGTCCAACAGTGAAGGCTCATGACTTTCCACATCTGAGACTTGAGTGGGTGTTGATAAAAGTTGTGGCAAGCCATAGGTCAGGGCGAAATCTTGAACAGAACTCCCCGCGTGATCGGTTTTCTGTGAGATTCGGCATTGTAAGCGTTAAAGTTGCCAAGAATCACGATGTCTGCCAATGGGATCTGATGCAACACAGAATCTGTAGCCATTTGGACGTGGTCTATCAGTCGGTCAGTTTCGGTATCACCGCTATGGGACTTGTAGAGGCATGCATGGACGCGGGGATGGTCGTTGTCTACACGGAGCCACAAAATAGAGAGGTCCCGTCTTTTAAGACTGCCGAGGCGGCGAGAACTGATTATCATCTCTAACGTAAATGCACACTCTGGCCCTAGCAACGAAGGAGTGTTCCAGGTGATAGCTAGGGTAGGAGAGGTAGGATGAGTCCGATGGAGATGATATTTGCGTCTCGGTTAAACAGAGCAAGGCCGGCTTCACTGTCTCGAGGTAGCGGTGGACAGCATTAAAAAGTAAGTGTTTAGGTGTTTTGTTGAACGCAGTTGTGCTCCCCCCCCCCCCCCCTCGATACGCGGGGCAGCCTAGACACCCACGCCCAGATGCATAGTGTTCTGAGCGTGGGCGTCCAGCATGGGTTTCTTCAACGCTATTGTACCCCCATGATAACATTTTTCTTTTATATATTTAGTTATGTGATTTCTTAAGAAAATGGAAATTAATGTGAGCGGATTATTAGACAAAGATATTTTCTGGTTGCCGATTTTAAATAATAATTAAAAAAAATAGCCTTAAATTTCT